CAGCTGTACAAGCCCTTTCACAATAAATCTTCAAGATGCATTTGACTTTATGATAACGTCTATGGCATTCTCAAAACTCGATCCCCATTTTGCAGGAGAAATTTGAGCATTCTTATCAAGGAGAATTTCCTAAATACCAAGATCTCCTCAAATTTCTTCATAAGTCGCAACAAGCGAAAAATCAAGTTTATGGTATGACAAGTATAACTAACAATTACACATATGATAAGCAAAAGGATAAAAATTCCAAAATTAGTCGATCATTTCTTTTAAAAAGTAAATACGAAAAGAAGTGCTTTGTGTGCCGGGAACAACACGTCATATTTGCATGTTCAAAATTACTAGAAATGAACATTCCTGAACGGCAAGAATGTATAAAAAATTTAAACCTATGTGTGAATTGTTTAAGCCATAAGACGACAGTTGCGTGTCGATCGAAGAAAACTTGTATTATATGTAAGGCACCGCATCATACGAGTACATTGTTGCATACTGATAAGAATCTTGCAAATACGAATCAAGATAATCCGTCGAATTCGAAATCTAAGCTGGCACATAATGTAACCATATTGCCTACTGCAGTAACCAAAGTTTTCACCGAATGAAAATATTTTATTACGTACGATAATTGATTCAGCAAGCGCTAGAAATTTTGTCACATTAACTTGGTGCTTAAAAGCTCAGTTACCAATTAAACCAGTTTCAGCCAAAGCGATGATTAGATAATTCATCACAAATCGTGATAGGATTGGTTAATTTTACTTTAATTTCTTTAGTCAATTCATACCAGTTGTCGGTATGTGCATATGTCGTGCACAAGATCGTGGGAAAACAACCACAAACCACCATTCCAGTTTCATCAATACAAACGTTCTTAAAGTACCCTTTAGCAGATCCAAACTTTTATTCACCACAAGAGGTCGATGGTATCTTGGGATGTGATGTTTTCAGCGAAATTATAGGTACTCACCAGGTAAAAAATGATCAAGGAGCTCCAACAGCATTAGAAACGCAGTTGGGATACATAATAATAGGTTCTGTTCCCAATTTATCCCAACCTTCAAGCACATCGACTAATTTATGCAATATTTCGAACCCAGATCTTAACGTTCAAATGGATAAGTTTTTCAGTTAGAAGATATTCCACAAGCAGCACTTCCTTACGACGATGATTATTGTGAAAATCATTTTATTGCAACAACAAAACGATCTCCAGAGGGGCGATACATAGTAGCCCTACCTTTTAAAAGTAAAGGAAAAAAATTTATCAAAATCCTTTACTTTAGCATTAAGCGTTTTGAGAGATCCAGAATATTATAAAAAATATTCCGCAGTTATAAACGATTATTTGACACAAAACCATTTATCCTTTGTTGCTCCTTGTTCTCTGAAGAATAAAGTTAATGATTCTAGTCACATAGAAAATGCATATTATATTCCTCATTTTGCAGTCGAGAAAGAAAGCTCCTCCACTCCATTACGCGTTGTGTTTGATGCGTCTGCAAAAAATGCAGAATTTCCTCGCTAAACGAAAATTTACATGTGGGTCCAAAACTACAAACAAACATTTGTTCGATTCTATTAAATTTTCGTATGGGACGGATAGCATTAATGGCGGATATCAAACAAATGTATAGAAATATATGGGTTCGCGAACAGGATCGAAAATACCAAAGGATATTATGGAGACCATCACCCGATGTACCTATTGGAATCTATGAACTAAATACAGTTACATTTGGCTTATCATCATCTCCATTTCAAGCCATTAGAACAATTAAACAACTGTCGCGAGATGAACGTTCCAAATTCTCTGAATCACTTATAAAAATACTTGAAAACGATATTTACATTGATGACGTGGTTACAAGTGTTGATTCTTTGGAAAATACAAAAATCATTGTTCGTGATCGACAGATCGTATTTGCATCTGGGGGTTTTGAATTTAAAAAAATGGGAATCTAATCATTCTAGCATACGGAACCTATTTCCTACATCTGATATTCAAACTAAATATTTCCCTAAGGATTTTGAAATCGATAATTCAACCAAGGTATTGGGATTAAAATGGAATCCTTTATCGGATAATTTTTCATTTGACATAAAACTTATGTGGAAAAGGTGGACCAAACGACATCTCCTTTCAGTAATAGCACGAATCTGGGACCCTCTGGGTTTCCTTACTCCCATAGTTATTAAGATAAAAATATTAATGAAGAAAATTTGGACCTTGAAAATTGATTGGGACGAAGAATTGCCATCATTCATTATTACTTCGTGGTTAGCAATTTATTCCGAATTAGAGCTTCTTAATAATTTTGAGATACCACGTTATTTGAAAACTTCCGAACGAGGTAAATGTACCTTTTGGTTTTGCAGATAGTTCCGAACAAGCATATGGAGCTGTAGTTTACATTAGATCACTTAACACTCAGAATTTCATGCTAATATCAAAGTCGAGAGTAACACCAATGAAAAATCAAACTTTAGCACGATTGGAACTTTGTGCATGTCATTTATTATCTAAATTATTACATTTTGTATTAACAAACAATAAACATAATATAGATTTTAATTCCGTTTATTGTTTTAATGACTCAATGATAGTCCTTCACTGGTTGGCAGGTCCAGCCAATCGTTGGAAAACGTTTGTAGCTAACCGAGTATCCAAAATTCACGACCTTCTTCCGAATGCACAGTGGCTTAATATTCCGTCCGATCAAAATGCAGCTGATTGTGTTTCCCGCGGCTTACGACCTAAGCAATTTATGCAACATAAAAAATGGTTGTTCGGACCGGATTGGTTAAACGATGACATATCTTCTTGGCCCAGTAAACGGATTGATACTTCTATAGAAATCAATCAAGAAAGAAAGGTTAATGCTCTAGTGGTAAAGAATGTTATTTCACCAATCAATTCCTTATATATGTTAACACAAAAATTTCCAATTGGAACAAACTTATAAGGATTTTCGCGTATATATTAAAATTTTGTAAAATTATCACTAATCAAAATCGTTTTTTGACTTCTGATTTAAAACAAGCCGAGGTAGTAATTATTCGACTAATCCAAGAACATCATTTTGCCGAGGAATTTAAATTATTAAAGAATGGGTTGTCCTGCTCAAAGAAATTCCGACGACTAAATTTAGCTTTGGATGCAAATAATTGTTTACGCGTTAATGGGCGATTAAGATTAACTACGAATGAAAACCCATTTCTTCTTCCTAAAAAAGACCAAGTAGTAAATTGTCTAATAGATTACTACCATAAAAACAATTTACATACTGGCTCAAATTTAGTTTTATCTTTATTAAGACAAAAATATTGGATCTTGTCAGCGCGGGCGATGATTCGTAACCGTCTTCACAAATGTATCACATGTTTTAGACATAATCCTAGATCCAATTTTCCATTTATGGGTAATTTACCAACACCACGTATTCAAGCAAGTAGGGCCTTTAGAAATGTCGGCGTAGATTATGCAGGCCCGTTCAATGTCTCAATGAGTCGCCACAGAGGCGTTCGAACATACAAGGCTTATATATGCCTTTTTATTTGTTTAGCTACCAAAACTATACACCTCGAGCTAGCTTCTGATTTGACAAGTGATACGTTTCTAGATTGCTTAAAACGATTTCTTGCTCGGCGCGGTCCATTGAATGCATCTATTCTGATTGTGGAACAAATTTTATAGGTGCAAAAAATACTCTTGATTCCTTATATATTCTGCTAAATTCCGATGAGTATAAAACGCATTTTAACAAAGTCTTAATTTCACATAACATCGAATGGAAATTTAATCCACCGCATGCTCCACATTTTGGGGGCATTTGGGAAGCAAATATTAAATCAGTAAAAAACCATTTGTTAAAGGTTATGGGCACACAAATATTATGTTACGAAGAGTTTATTACCGTTCTCAATCAAATCGAGGCTTTACTAAACTCAAGACCGTTATGTTGACAGAGTAGCGATCCATCGGATCCACAACCCTTACACCGGCACATTTTTTGATGCAAGAACCACTGTCGGATATGCCGGTTGATTATGAAAACTTAAATTTGTCGAAAAGAAAGCAATTATTAGACCAAATAGTCGCCTCATACTGGAAGCGATGGAGTAGAGAATATATTACTGAATTACAGGTTCGTCAAAAATGAAACACTGTAACCAATCCTATAAAAAAGGATGATCTGGTAATTGTTAAACAAGAAAATACACGACCATTACATTGGGGATTAGGAAGGATCGAAGAAGTTTTTCCAGGCGACGATGGAATAGTGAGAGTAGCATCAGTCAAAATTGGAGACACACTAGTTAAGCGACCGGTGGTCAAACTTTGTCCTTTTTCTTTTCAATAACTAAAACTGTGACAAGACATTACAATTTCCAAAATAGTGAATTATTTTACTATCAACCGATATCAAGAAATACAGGATTATAAAAGGTATCCCTTTTAGACTGGGAATATGTTTGCGCCAGAACCTGTTAGATGGCGCCAGAGAATATTTTTAATATTCAGACAACACTTTTATCTGGCAATCCTCAATTTGGATGTGATAGCTGATCTGACGGGTGAACAAGCTCTCTCGCGTTGGCTGGTCACGTACACCGTTTTACTTGTACTTTCCATATGTGTTTTTGTGATATATTTCGATCATTAGTTATTACTTAATGAAATAAATACCTTTTAATCAGTGCAAGTGTTACTTATTTTGTGTTTTGAAGTTCATTTCTTCCTCAGAATCCGAATTTAAAGCGAACTGAGATATCCGAACTCGAAGCCGCCATCCGACTGGACCGCCGAGCACGTAGAGAACGTCGAATATTTTACTTAATATATTCAATATATCAATTCCTCGGAATAGTTATTGAGTCCAATTCAATTAGCTATTCCGAAAGGGTCTAACCAACCCCCATCCGTAACATTGGTCCTTCGAGCCGGATCCTAATTTTGATTAGGATTTATTGAATATATTAAGGAAATAAAATCCAAGATGGCACCTAAATTTGACGTGGGTGCAGAGATTAACCGAATGACAGCGAAGAGCGAAATGTATTTTTCAATAATACAAGAAACGTATGACATTTCCCTACAAATTACCACCAATACGGCAAGTAAGTTAAAATTTCTTGAAAAATTACACCTTATTGAAAATGCACGAGAACAATGCATAAAATTAAGCGACGAAATAAACAAATTAAGATATTTAGAGGATCCGAGTTTTGTACCTGAGTATGCCGACATGAGGGCCTTGGAAATTTTGTACGGAAAAATCAAACATATAGAAAAAATGTTGGATAATCAAAATATAAGTAATTCGCCAATACCGGACAGTGTTCCAAATCATCATTTACCATCCATAGAAGTTCCAAAATTTTCCGGCAATATACAACAATGGCCTTTATTTTATGAAACCTTTAGAGCATTAATTCATGAAAATACAAGATTAGATAACGTATCCAAATTTCATTTTTTAAAAGGTGCGTTAGAAGGTTCGGTATTAAAAATTTTTAATTCCATACTACCAACTGCAAATAATTATCCGATTTTATGGGAAGCACTATTAAAAAAATACCAGAATAAAAGATATTTAGCCACCACTTACTTTAAACAGCTCTTATCGTTTAAAACTATTACATCATCACAAATAGACCTATTTCTGGAACAATTCGATACAGCTGTACAAGCCCTTTCACAATTAATCTTCAAGATGCATTTGACTTTATGATAACGTCTATGGCATTTTCAAAACTCGATCCCATTTTGCAGGAGAAATTTGAGCATTCTTATCAAGGAGAATTTCCTAAATACCAAGATCTCCTCAAATTTCTTCATAAGTCGCAACAAGCGAAAAATCAAGTTTATGGTATGACAAGTATAACTAACAATTACACATATGATAAGCAAAAGGATAAAAATTCCAAAATTAGTCGATCATTTCTTTTAAAAAGTAAATACGAAAAGAAGTGCTTTGTGTGCCGGGAACAACACGCCATATTTGCATGTTCAAAATTACTAGAAATGAACATTCCTGAACGGCAAGAATGTATAAAAAATTTAAACCTATGTGTGAATTGTTTAAGCCATAAGACGACAGTTGCGCGTGTCGATCGAAGAAAACTTGTATTATATGTAAGGCACCGCATCATACGAGTACATTGTTGCATACTGATAAGAATCTTGCAAATACGAATCAAGATAATCCGTCGAATTCGAAAACACAATGCGTTTTACCAGCTGGCACATAATGTAACCATATTGCCTACTGCAGTAACCAAAGTTTTCACCGAAAATGAAAATATTTTATTACGTACGATAATTGATTCAGCAAGCGCTAGAAATTTTGTCACATTAACTTGGTGCTTAAAAGCTCAGTTACCAATTAAACCAGTTTCAGCCAAAGCGATGGGATTAGGTAATTCATCACAAATCGTGATAGGATTGGTTAATTTTACTTTAATTTCTTTAGTCAATTCATACCAGTTGTCGGTATGTGCATATGTCGTGCACAAGATCGTGGGAAAACAACCACAAACCACCATTCCAGTTTCATCAATACAAACGTTCTTAAAGTACCCTTTAGCAGATCCAAACTTTTATTCACCACAAGAGGTCGATGGTATCTTGGGATGTGATGTTTTCAGCGAAATTATAGGTACTCACCAGGTAAAAAATGATCAAGGAGCTCCAACAGCATTAGAAACGCAGTTGGGATACATAATAATAGGTTCTGTTCCCAATTTATCCCAACCTTCAAGCACATCGACTAATTTATGCAATATTTCGAACCCAGATCTTAACGTTCAAATGGATAAGTTTTTTCAGTTAGAAGATATTCCACAAGCAGCACTTCCTTACGACGATGATTATTGTGAAAATCATTTTATTGCAACAACAAAACGATCTCCAGAGGGGCGATACATAGTAGCCCTACCTTTTAAAAGTAAAGGAAAAAAATTTATCAAAATCCTTTACTTTAGCATTAAAGCGTTACCACATGCTAGAAAACAAATTTTTGAGAGATCCAGAATATTATAAAAAATATTCCGCAGTTATAAACGATTATTTGACACAAAACCATTTATCCTTTGTTGCTCCTTGTTCTCTGAAGAATAAAGTTAATGATTCTAGTCACATAGAAAATGCATATTATATTCCTCATTTTGCAGTCGAGAAAGAAAGCTCCTCCACTCCATTACGCGTTGTGTTTGATGCATCTGCAAAAAATGCAGAATTTACCTCGCTAAACGAAAATTTACATGTGGGTCCAAAACTACAAACAAACATTTGTTCGATTCTATTAAATTTTCGTATGGGACGGATAGCATTAATGGCGGATATCAAACAAATGTATAGAAATATATGGGTTCGCGAACAGGATCGAAAATACCAAAGGATATTATGGAGACCATCACCCGATGTACCTATTGGAATCTATGAACTAAATACAGTTACATTTGGCTTATCATCATCTCCATTTCAAGCCATTAGAACAATTAAACAACTGTCGCGAGATGAACGTTCCAAATTCTCTGAATCACTTATAAAAATACTTGAAAACGATATTTACATTGATGACGTGGTTACAAGTGTTGATTCTTTGGAAAATACAAAAATCATTGTTCGTGATCGACAGATCGTATTTGCATCTGGGGGTTTTGAATTTAAAAAAATGGGAATCTAATCATTCTAGCATACGGAACCTATTTCCTACATCTGATATTCAAACTAAACATTTCCCTAAGGATTTTGAAATCGATAATTCAACCAAGGTATTGGGATTAAAATGGAATCCTTTATCGGATAATTTTTCATTTGACATAAAACTTATGTGGAAAAGGTGGACCAAACGACATCTCCTTTCAGTAATAGCACGAATCTGGGACCCTTCGGGTTTCCTTACTCCCATAGTTATTAAGATAAAAATATTAATGAAGAAATTTGGACCTTGAAAATTGATTGGGACGAAGAATTGCCATCATTCATTATTACTTCGTGGTTAGCAATTTTATTCCGAATTAGAGCTTCTTAAAATTTTGAGATACCACGTTATTTGAAAACTTCAGAACGAGGTAAATGTACTTATTTGGTTTTGCAGATAGTTCCGAACAAGCATATGGAGCTGTAGTTTACATTAGATCACTTAACACTCAGAATTTCATGCTAATATCAAAGTCGAGAGTAACACCAATGAAAAATCAAACTTTAGCACGATTGGAACTTGGGCATGTCATTTATTATCTAAATTATTACATTTTGTATTAACAAACAATAAACATATTATAGATTTTAATCCGTTTATTGTTTTAATGACTCAATGATAGTCCTTCACTGGTTGGCAGGTCCAGCCAATCGTTGGAAAACGTTTGTAGCTAACCGAGTATCCAAAATTCACGACCTTCTTCCGAATGCACAGTGGCTTCATATTCCGTCCGATCAAAATGCAGCTGATTGTGTTTCCCGCGGCTTACGACCTAAGCAATTTATGCAACATAAAAAATGGTTGTTCGGAGGACGGATTGGTTAAACGATGACATATCTTCTTGGCCCAGTAAACGGATTGATACTTCTATAGAAATCAATCAAGAAAGAAAGGTTAATGCTCTAGTGGTAAAGAATGTTATTTCACCAATCAATTCCTTATATATGTTAACACAAAAATTTTCCAATTGGAACAAACTTATAAGGATTTTCGCGTATATATTAAAATTTTGTAAAATTATCACTAATCAAAATCGTTTTTTGACTTCTGATTTAAAACAAGCCGAGGTAGTAATTATTCGACTAATCCAAGAACATCATTTTGCCGAGGAATTTAAATTATTAAAGAATGGGTTGTCCTGCTCAAAGAAATTCCGACGACTAAATTTAGCTTTGGATGCAAATAATTGTTTACGCGTTAATGGGCGATTAAGATTAACTACGAATGAAAACCCATTTCTTCTTCCTAAAAAAGACCAAGTAGTAAATTGTCTAATAGATAACTACCATAAAAACAATTTACATACTGGCTCAAATTTAGTTTTATCTTTATTAAGACAAAAATATTGGATCTTGTCAGCGCGGGCGATGATTCGTAACCGTCTTCACAAATGTATCACATGTTTTAGACATAATCCTAGATCCATTTTCCATTTATGGGTAATTTACCAACACCACGTATTCAAGCAAGTAGGGCTTTAGAAATGTCGGCGTAGATTATGCAGGCCCGTTCAATGTCTCAATGAGTCGCCACAGAGGCGTTCGAACATACAAGGCTTATATATGCCTTTTTATTTGTTTAGCTACCAAAACTATACACCTCGAGCTAGCTTCTGATTTGACAAGTGATACGTTTCTAGATTGCTTAAAACGATTTCTTGCTCGGCGCGGTCCCATTGAATGCATCTATTCTGATTGTGGAACAAATTTTATAGGTGCAAAAAATACTCTTGATTCCTTATATATTCTGCTAAATTCCGATGAGTATAAAACGCATTTTAACAAAGTCTTAATTTCACATAACATCGAATGGAAATTTAATCCACCGCATGCTCCACATTTTGGGGGCATTTGGGAAGCAAATATTAAATCAGTAAAAAACCATTTGTTAAAGGTTATGGGCACACAATATTATGTTACGAAGAGTTTATTACCGTTCTCAATCAAATCGAGGCTTTACTAAACTCAAGACCGTTATGTTGGCAGAGTAGCGATCCATCGGATCCACAACCCCTTACACCGGCACATTTTTTGATGCAAGAACCACTGTCGGATATGCCGGTTGATTATGAAAACTTAAATTTGTCGAAAAGAAAGCAATTATTAGACCAAATAGTCGCCTCATACTGGAAGCGATGGAGTAGAGAATATATTACTGAATTACAGGTTCGTCAAAAATGAAACACTGTAACCAATCCTATAAAAAAGGATGATCTGGTAATTGTTAAACAAGAAAATACACGACCATTACATTGGGGATTAGGAAGGATCGAAGAAGTTTTTCCAGGCGACGATGGAATAGTGAGAGTAGCATCAGTCAAAATTGGAGACACACTAGTTAAGCGACCGGTGGTCAAACTTTGTCCTTTTTCTTTTCAATAACTAAAACTGTGACAAGACATTACAATTTCCAAAATAGTGAATTATTTTACTATCAACCGATATCAAGAAATACAGGATTATAAAAGGTATCCCTTTTAGACTGGGGAATATGTTTGCGCCAGAACCTGTTAGATGGCGCCAGAGAATATTTTTAATATTCAGACAACACTTTTATCTGGCAATCCTCAATTTGGATGTGATAGCTGATCTGACGGGTGAACAAGCTCTCTCGCGTTGGCTGGTCACGTACACCGTTTTACTTGTACTTTCCATATGTGTTTTTGTGATATATTTCGATCATTAGTTATTACTTAATGAAATAAATACCTTTTAATCAGTGCAAGTGTTACTTATTTGTGTTTTGAAGTTCATTTCTTCCTCAGAATCCGAATTTAAAGCGAACTGAGATATCCGAACTCGAAGCCGCCATCCGACTGGACCGCCGAGCACGTAGAGAACGTCGAATATTTTACTTAATATATTCAATAATATCAATTCCTCGGAATAGTTATTGAGTCCAATTCAATTAGCTATTCCGAAAGGGTCTAACCAACCCCCATCCGTAACATCGTACTTGGCACATTATAGAACTTCTCTCTTCGGCAAGTTATTCATAAAACAATATTGAGGTGAGGCATATTAGTTATATTTATAAAATACGTGACAAAAATTTTATTTATAACTTATCATAATTATCTTTGGATGGATTTTTATGTTTTTTTATAGAATATTTATTTTGCAGCAGTTTATATTTTTAGGGTGTAATATTATTGTACTTGACAAATTGGAACTTTTCTCTTCGGAGTGAGGCATATTATATATATATTTATATAATACATGATCAATATTTTATTAATAACTTATCATAATTATCCTTTGAAGAATTTTAATCTTTTATTTTAGAATATTTTCTTTGTAGCATCTCATATTGTTACAAAAATGGATGTTTTGTCAAGCACGATGACTGGTAATTCATCTGGTGTTTCCAATTGTGCTTTAGAGTACAGTAATATAGAACACTCATCAATGAGTGTTCCAGACAACATCCCGAAGGATAATAAATCATTTACTTTAGATCTTCAATTTGAGGATTTGTTCCACATAGTCGATGGTGTAGTAAAAAAAAAAACACTTATAAAGAAGCTTTTTTAAAATGTTTTAGGAAAGCCGCAATATATCCTTGCGATTTGAACTCTCAATATGCACGTTTGAATAAAAAAAGTGCTCATATTAGGACTTATTGTCCTAAGAATCGATATAACAAGGAAGTTAAGCATATTGGAAATTGCATGATATTCAACACTCACATAAAATTTGATCCTCAGCAAAAAATGATTAATGAAGTTTTAATCATACCTAAAGGTATATTTAATCATGGCACTGTAACTAACCCTATTCTTAGGTCTAGGTATCTTAAAGGAAAAGATAGAGATGATTTAAAAACAAAACTTAAACATCAAAAAGCACTAGCATGTCGTATTGAGCACTTCCATGATATGAAAGCAGAATTTCCTGAATCATATCAAACATTCGGTAAGGTATACAATCTTCCGTCGCAAGCTTGCATGCGTCAAGCAAAGTATGAAGAAAAGAAAAAGAATGACTTAGATACCAACGGCTACGTGCTGATCTCTAGTCAAGATGCAGTTACAGGAAATGGAAAAACCTTGGAATGAGCGAATTTTAAATAACGTTCTCAGCATGATTTCAACATTGGTACATCATGAAGCACTTAATGCATTAAGTAAGTATTTGTAAAATAATGCAGATAGAGTACTGCATTTTGATGCAACTGGTAGTCTAGTAAATGATCTTAAACATTCTAAGAGAATGTACTTATATTCAGGTGTAATGTCAGTGCGTACACATTTAGGTCGCTATACATTTCCTTTGATAAATTTTTTATCAGGTGAACATAGTGCTCGAGAGATTGAAAGAGGTATCAGGTATTGTATGGTCGAGTTAGGCGGTCGAATGCCTATTACGCGCGTAATATGCGACCACAGCTATGCAAGCATCCATGCATTGCTCCAGAGTTGTAATAATACAACTTTAATCGATTACATTAATAAATGCTATATCTTTCTAAATAATAATAATAAAAGTTCTACACATTTTACAGAAAACATAACATTGCATTTATGTGTCAGTCACTTCATAAAGAGGCTGATATATCATGCAAAAAAGTTTGCAAACGGTAACAGTGTAATAATAACTATAGCTGTGAGATCAATCATTTATCTCCTAGGTGAAAAATGCAGAGATCTGAACCATGCTCGTAATATGTTCACTCATATTGTGTATATTTTAGGTAGCGAGTATCACAATGAACAAATTGATGTGGCGATTAAGGCAATCAATGATTTCGAGCATGACGAACTACCATTAGACAAAACCATTCTTTCAAATACTTATGATTTGGAAAAAACAGAGGAACCTGAATTGTCTAAAGGTATGTTACAAAATAGCCTATTTTATAAAGAATTTCTTCATATTAAATGTGAAGCAGAACAAAAAATGGCTAATGAAGGATACCGAAATCAATATTTCTGCCCAGGCTTTCTCAATTATGTAATGGATAGATATATTCCAATTATGCCT